TAGCATGGAACAAATGACACAGACTTCTGCTGCTAAATCTTCTTCCCTTGGGCTTTCAGCCAGCCTTCCCAGGTCTGCTCTCTGGAGCTACGCACAACAGACTTGCTCCGGAGCCAGCTGCAAATATTTGAAGGCAGCTTTTATGTTCTCTATCTGCCTTTTTTTTCTTTTTTCCTGTGCTAAACTTATGTTTATTTTTTTTTTTTGAACCTGATACAGGTATTTATACGGATCAGCATTAAATTTTATTCAGTTGCATTTGCCTCACCCTTCCAGGCTGCTCAAATATTTGTGAATCCTGATTCAATCATTCAGTGTATTAACCAGACCTAATACCACATGCTTCTGAAAATGATAAGCTTCCAAGTCTCCCTCCCATCCTTTCTCCTTTCTTCTTTTCCTTCAAACATTTATTGAAGTCTTTCATGTGCCAGGCACTGTGTCAGGCAAGGTCTGGGCTGCAAGTTTGCATAAGGAGAATCTGTAGACTTAAAGCTTCTTGGGCTGGTCCCATAGTCTAATGGTTAGGGACCAAAAAATCTCACATGGCTGAGCACAGTTCAAATCCTAGAAAAACATGCAGGGCATGTGAATGCATGCTCCAAATCTCGACTGACTGGAGAAATGGAGGAGAAGGGATTGGGGTGTGACCACTCCCATTGGGAGGTGTTCCCTCTCTTTTTTGTCAATCTCTCTGGTAAATGCATGCGCCCAATGGCAACTAGAAAACAAAACAAAATAAAACAAACAAACAAAAATCTTCTTGCTCATACAGGCAAAGAGAAAAATAAGATACAGTACATAAAGGGTCTTCAAAAATTCATGGAAAATGCTATTATGAAAAAATTAAGCAAGGATTTAAAAAAATTTTTTTTGCACCAAAATGAATTCACACTTCTTTTTATTTAAAAAATATTAATTCATTTTTATTCATTATTTCTATTTTAAAGTTTAAATCAGAGAGAGACAGAGAAAATGAGAGAGCAAGCCACCAGGTCTGGGACTCAAACCATGGTCAGTCATGTGGACGTCCAGTGCCCTAAGCATTATGCCACCTCCTTATGCCTGGATTCACACTTTAATTCTTTTTTTCCATATGAACTTTTTGAAGTCTTCTTGTAGTGTGACTATGTAGTGAATGAATGAGTTTTTTTGTTTGTTTGTTATTTGTATTTAATTTGCTAGAGGGAGTCTTTAATCACTGGAGAATGACAGAGGGAGAAGGAAAGTGAGAAATCACCCTCTGTAGGGTATGATCACACCACAATCCCTTCTCCCCCATTTCTCCATTCAGGATTTTGGGCATGCATGACCTTGTGCTTCACATGCTTCTCAAGTGCTGGGTTTGGGACCCAACTGACTCTCCAAAAAAGGAGAGTTTTAACATGAGTTGGGAGAATAATTGTAAAAGGAGGCAAAAGGGAGCCAGCAGAATGTTAGCTACTCTGGCTCCCAGGACACAGACCAGGGGGAAATCGGGCAGGTCCTACTTAAGGAAAGGCTAGGGCTCATTTCTGGAAGGGGCTATGCTGTTCCTGCCTAGGTTATGGCCTTATCTCCTCCTTCCTACTCCCTGACCAGCAGGGCTCTTCCTCCTCCCTCACCTCCCTAAAAAGGAAAGGGCAGTAACCTTGGAGAGGAGGCCTAAGGATTCACGTGGTAAACTAGAGAAGCAGAGAGCATTCTAGATTTCAGTTAGAGACTAAGAAGGGACAGAAAGGGAAGAGGGTCTTTTGTGACCAGAAAATGTCCACGTAGTCATTGGGAAGGGTAGTAGGACCAAGAGCTAAGGGACTTTCTGGTTATCACCGCTCATGCTCATTTCTTCCAAGCACAGCTACCCAGGTCACCTAGGGTCCTTCTTCAGCAGAAAGACTGGATTCTTCAGCAGTCCAAGGTGTATATAGCTCATTCGCACATGCTGCAGAGCTCAGGATGACACAGGGGGCTGCAAGTTTTCAGGAGTTAAGGCTATCCAGGATAGAGAATGGGCGGCCTTGGTAAACCCATTATCTCATGGCATTTCCATCAACTACTAATGTGCTAGAAGAAGGCCCTGTTAATAGTGCTACATTATTTAATGTTAAGAGTAACCTAGAGGGAACCAGCAGTTAGCGTAATGGCTATGTCACTGGACTCCCATGTAGTCGACCGTGGTTTGTGTCCCGGACCCGGTGGCTTAAAACTCACGCTGGGCGCGTGTGCGTGCGTGCCCAAGATCCTGAGAGGAGAATGGAGGAGAAGGGATTGCGGCGTGACCATCCCCCCTGAGGGGTGATTTCTCGCTTTCTGTCTCTATGTCTCTCTCTGTCTGTCTGGTGAGCGCACGCGCCCAATAGCAAAAATCTCTCCAAAAAAGAGTAACCTAGAAAGAAGCTAGGCCTTGGGCTAGTCAGTCCTACATCAGCTTAGATTATATGGGATACTGCAAACCTCCCCTGCAGTGAGGGCTGAGGGCTCTGTCTCCTGAGCAGTCCTGCCTGGCTATCCTTCTGGCCCATGTTGCCCAACCTTCTCTTTAGTTTTCTACTCCAATATATTCATGGTCCTGCTTTAATTTCTGGAGGATGCAAGCATATATTCTTGTCAACTTTCGCAGGGTGGCATTTCTTTGGGGGCCTCAGCCTTCCTTTTGAATTTCCTTACGACTTTAAAATCAATCTATTCGTTCTCTTTCCCACCTCCTCTGGAAAAACATGCAGACTCTTTCAGGAGGAATCTCTCCTTTTTCCTCTAGCTTGCTCACTGCACTTCACCTACTGCAATGCCTGACACATAGCAAGATTTCAACAGAAGTATGTGGACTGAGAAGATCCATAGGAAGAAGAGGCATATGGGACACTTACTGCAAATTAAATCTCTGGTTTGGACTTTTCAGGTCCTATCCTCTTGACTTTGCCTCCTGCTACGGGGGAAAAACCCAAAAGAAGAGTGGTGGGTGGGTTCAGACAGAGACGAGGGAGCTGGTGAAGAGAATGGGCTTGGTTCCAGGATGGTTTCCAGGTGTCTGCTGGCAGAGCCCCCATGACAGCTATGCTGGAGGAAGCGCAGAGTCTCATTTCTGTAAAGGATCCCAGGGAGCTTTGCAGTGCTCCCCAAACACGAGGCATTCTTGTTGCGCGTGTTATTGTCTTCTGTAGCTGTTTATAACCTCTTTAACTAGCTGGCAGGATTCCTGGCTGCCGCTTTCCCTCTGGAGGGGAACAATTGATGACCTACTTCTGCAAGTTCTACGGTACCATGCCTGGGCTAGTCTGGATCCACATTAAAATATGCCGGGGGCACAAACTGCAGTCAAAAAGTTCTGTTGAACCCCCTTGGACCAATCAATGCCGTTTTGAGCAGTACAGACACCCAATGCACTCGTTAAAACATAATTTCCTAGGGCCCTTTTTTATAAATAGAATTTCAAATGCATTCAGGTTTGAACTTTCAAGGAGGGTGACTTTGAGCTGACACGTGCACATAACACTTGTAATACACCAACCTTTGGCTATTGCTCCCTGGAAGGCTGGTTGGAATTACCACTTCCCTCTCATTTGAGAGAGATTGGGGGAGGGGACACAAGGAACTGAAGGACTTGCCTTTGGACCAATAGTGTCGGTTTGTGGATAAGGTTAGAATTTTAGATCTGGGGCATTCTTTCTTGGTTGGTTGACTGTTCTACTCAGGCTATCAAGGGAGAAGTCTTAACATCCACATCTATATTTTTGCCTTAAACCCTGGGTCAGAGGTTGTCCGGAGTGGAAGGAACTCGGTCCTCTTTTATTGGACTTATGATTGCATACCATCCTTCCCAAGGGGGGAAAGCATGGTCAAAGCAGGGAACAGAAACGTCAAGGGAGCAGAAGGGCAGAGAAAAGAAAAGAGGAACAAAGAAGTCGGTGCATTTGACCCTTTTTGTTACCCAGATCCTCAACTCTGCTCCCTACAACCTCCTGCCTAGCCAGAGGCTAGCAGGCTGAAAAAGGAGGGGTCCAAGTTCCTAAGAGAGCATGCCCTGGCTAGGGTCCGCCGTCCTTACCAGAACCAGGCGCAGAGCGAGCGCTTCCGCAGCAATCGCGTGTCTTTGTTTCAGCTCTCGGTTACCATGGGAACGGCGTCCGCGCAACGTTCCTTGTCAGGATCTAAACTGCGCGGTGGCGCGGAGCTAGCTCTGAACCTCTGCACCCGCCCTGCCTTTCCTTTCCAAGTCTCTCTTCTCGCTGGGGAAATATTTGGGTTATTGTCAGGGCCCAGCCAGAAAGTTTTCTGAATTGTTTGCATCCCGGTCACCTGCGCCAGGTGGCAGTTGCGGCCTTGTAGATTGTTTGCCTGAAAGGGGACTGTACCCATTGGACTGCCATACTGGGGCTTTCTGAAGTCCTGGGGCCCAGCACTGAGCTTGTGGGTGGCTGCTAAGATGGTGAAATGGACTTGCGGCTCTGATTGGACCTCAGGACAAGGACCCCTAAACAGCCTGAATGACAGTCCCTTTTGCCCTCTGGAGTGCTGTTGGGGATGGGGGGCAAAGAACTGCCCTAAAGAAGGTAGAGGGTGTGCGGGCTTGGGTTCTTGATCTTATCAAGAGCTGGAGGAAGCCAATGAAGTTCCAGTGCTCTGGCCACTCTGAATGGACTTGCTGGAGCTGCAGAGTAGCCCAGGTCAGGCAGGGAGGTCAGGTTGCAACTCAGATCTGCGTAGATACTTCTGGTCAATTGTTACATAGATTTCAGAAGAAAAAATCCTGATCTTTGAAGTGCCAGTAATTGCTGTTATTTCTTTTCTCATTCTTATTTAAATTAATTAAGTAAGGGACCAGCAGATGGCCGTAATGGTTACGTTGCTGGACTCCCATGTGGTTGACCACGGTTCCAGTCCTGGGCCCGGTGGCTTACAACTCACACCGGTCTTGGCGTTTGGAAGGGGGCGGGAGGGGAAGGACCAGCGGCCAAATCCCGTGGCGAGGCTCCCCGCGGGAGCCCCAGCCCGTGTTGCCCACTGGTCGGCCCAGCCCAGCAATGATCAAGGCAATCCTCATCTTCAACAACCAGGGCAAGACACGCTCTCCAAGTTTTACCAGCCCTACACAACAGCAAATCATAAGGGAGATTTTCCATTGTGTATCTAAGGGAGATGAAAATGTTTGTAATTTCCTAGAAGGAGGATTATTAATTGGAGGATCGGACAACAAACCAGTTTATAGACATTACACAATGCTATATTTTATCTCCTGTGTGGATTCTTCAGAAAGTGAACTTGGCATTTTAGATCTCATTCACGTATTCATGGAAACATTAGACAAGTGTTTTGAAAATGTCTGTGAACTGTATTTAATTTTCCATGTAGACAAGGTTCACAATATTCTTGCAGAAATGGTGATGGGAGGAATGGTATTAGAGACCAATCTGAATGAGATTATTACACAAACTGATGCACGAAATAAACTGGAGAAATCTGAGGCTGGCTTAGCAGGCGCTCCAGCCCATGCTGTATCAGTTGTAAAGAATATGAATCTTCCTGAGATCCCAAGAAATATTAACATTGGTGACATCAGTATAAAAGTGTCAACCCTGCCCTCTTTCAAATCAAAAATTAAAAAGGCCACTCCCAGGTAAAATCCAGGGGAAGTCATCTAAGTTTACCATGCAGTTGTTTACCAAAACTTGAGGAGAGTTTTACCTTTTGCTCTTGGATTTAAGTCAAGGTACTATGTAGAAGTTGTGTAAAATCAGTATGGGAGTTCAATGTTGCTTCTCTTACTCTGTGATTTTAAAGAAATCGAGTAGTTACGGTGTGGTTTTCTTTCTTTTTCTTTTCTAAACTGCATTCTTATGCCCATCAAAGGCATGCCTCTTTCCAATCAAGAGACACAGACTGGCAGAATGGATTAAAAAACAGAAACCCTCTACCTGTTGCCTACAGGAAACCCATTTCATGGATAAAGACATATGTAGACTGAAAGTGAAGGGTTGGAAAAAGGTTTTTCATGCAAATGGGAACCAAAAAAGAGCTGGAGCTGTGATAGTAATTTCTGACAAAATAGTCTTTTAAACAAAAACTGTTTGAAGAGACAAAGAAGGGCACTATATTGTAGTAAAAGGATCGATAGATCAAGAAGATACAATGCTTATTAATATCTATGCACCTAACACAGGAGCACCCAAATATGTGAAGGAAAGACTGTTAGATCTAAAAGGGGAGATAGACTGCAACACACTAATTGTTGGAGACCTCAATGTTGCACTATCCCCTCTGGACAGATCATCTAGACAAAAAATAGGTAAAGAGATAAAGGATCTAAACGATACCATAAATCAAATGGACTTAACAGATATTTATAGAACTTTCCATCCAAAAACCATGAGGTACACTTTTTTTTCACCCCCACATGGAACCTTCTCAAAAATTGACCACATCATAGGGCACAAAGCAACCCCCTATAGATTCAAAGACATAGAAACTATATCCAGCATCTTCTCTGACCATGATGGAATTAAACTTGAGTTTAATTGCAAGAGAAACCCTCAAAAATACTCGAATACATGGAAACTAAGTAACCTACTTCTGAATGACTCCACAACTACTGAAGAAATAAAGAATGAAATCAAAACATTCATGGAAATCAATGACAACGAGGACACAAGTTTCCATGATCTTTGGGACACTGCTAAAGCAGTCATAAGAGGGATGTTCATAGCAATTAGTGCACATAAGAGGAAGCTGGAAAGAAAGCAAATGGATCACCTAACATCATACCTCAGAGAATTGGAAAAGCAACAGCAAAAA